GCACAGGAGGTGCACATGCTCGGCGAGTCGCACGTCAGGCAGGTGGCCTGGCAGGGGCGGCAGGCGCCCTCGTCGGCAAAGAACCCGCCCGGACACTCCAGCATGCAGGTCCCGTTCAGATGGAACCGGTCGGCCGGGCAGCTCTCGCATTGGTCGGCGGCGGGGCCTTTGCAGGCGGTGCAGGTGGCGTTGCAGGGGAGGCAAGTCTGGCCGGTCTGGAATGTCCCCCGGGGGCACACGGCAAAGCAGGCCCCGTCCACTTGCAGGGGCCAGCGCGGCCGACAGCTGAGACAATGCTGGGAGCCCGGACCGTAGCAGGTGGCGCAGGTCCCATGGCAGGTGGCGCACAAGCCGCCCTGGGGCGAAGACCCGTCCGGGCAGGAGGCCACGCACAGCGGGGCGTCCAGCAGCCAGCCCCGGTCGCACAGGGCGCAGGCGTCCGGCTGGCCGGGGCAGCTGGCACAGTGGTCGCCGCACTTGGCGCACCCGGCGCCCGAGGCATTGTAGCCCACCGGGCAGGCCGGCACGCAGCGCATCGGCGACTCGCCGGCCGGCAGGGCCAGCAGATCCCCCGGGCAAGCTTGGCACTCGGTCAGCCGAACACCCACGCACTGGTCGCAGGACACATGGCAGGGCAGGCACCGCCCGGCCAGGGCCACATGCTTCGCGGCGCAGTGCTGCACGCAGTCGCCGTCCTGCAGCACGCCGCTGGCGCAGCGCCAGCAGTCCTTGTCCGAGGGGCCGTTGCACGTGGCGCACGCCGCGTCGCATGGCAAGCAGTCGCCGGAGACACGGTCCCGGTGCTGGCCCTCCGGGCAGCCCGACACGCATGTGCCGGCCGAGGCGCTGGCCGGCACGAAGTCCAGCCCGGCCGCGCAGCTGGCGCACTGGTCGGCGCCGCCCCCGACGCAGGTGGCGCAACTCAGGTCGCACGGCTGGCACGACTCGGCGTCGGCGAAGGTCCCATCCGGGCAGGTGCTCACGCAGTCACCGTGTGAGTCGAGGAAGAGCCCCGGCTCGCAGGCCAGGCACCGGTCGGCCGTGCACGAGGCGCAACCCGGATCACAGGGGACACACTGGCCCGTGGCGCCGGCTGCCGGCGGGGTCCCAGCCCACCGGTGTCCCGGGCCGCACACCTGGCACCGGTCGGCTGCACCGACGCACAGGGCGAGGAGGTTTGGCACTCGGTGCATCGGTTGGGCCCGACATACTCGCCCGGGGGGCAGGTGCTCGCGCACAGGGAGGCCACCTGCGGGTCGGGCTGCAGGAACACCAGCCCCGGCCGGCAGGTGGCGCAGGCGCCGGCCTCGGCACAGGTGCCGCACGAGCCGTCGCAGGGCAGGCATGTGCCCGAGCCGGGGGGCAGGAAGTGGCCCGGCTGGCAGGCGGAGCACATGTCGGCCGAGGAGCAGGACGCGCAGCCACCCGGGCAGGGGATGCACTGGCCGGCTCGGGCGTCGGCCCAGAGGCCCGAAGGGCATTCCGTATGGCAGATGCCGGCATGCAGGAAGCGCGCCGGGCCGCAGGCGGTGCAGGTGGCCGGGTCGCCGGGGACCGCACACTCGGCGCATGTGTCGTGGCAGGCATGGCATCGGTCGGGGCGGCTGTCCCCCGGGGCGAGGGCCTGCCCCGGGTGGCAGGCAACACACTGGTATTCGCCAGACGCCTGGGCCTGGCACTGCTTGCACTCGGCATGGCAGCCACATTGGCCGGTGAGCAGATCGGGGTACTGCCCGGGAGGGCATTCGGCCAGACAGGTCTCCGGCTGGCCGGCAAGCCAGGCCCGGCAGACGGTGCAGTCGGCGGGCCCCGGGCCGTGGCATGCCTGGCAAATGGCGTCGCAGGGCTGGCACTCCACGCCGAAGGTCCCGGGCGGGCAGGTGGAGAAAATGTCCAAGCGCACGGGCGCCACGTGGTCATCGGTCATGGCCCACAGAGAGAGGACCAGTCCCGGCGGGCCATTCGGGCCGACGGGCCGGCGCACCGCCCCCCGGCGGCCGAGCCCCCGAAGCCCGGGGGCCAGCTCGGCGAAGGAGGCCGGCAGGAAGACACACGGGGCCGGCCCGGTGGCCGAGCAATCGAGCGGCGCCAGGCCGACAAGGTGGTCGGCCAGCAGCAGCAGCCCGGCCGGGTAGCCCGGCCACCCGGCCAGTGCCGTGCCCAGGACCATGGTGGCGCTCGGGTCGATGGGGGCCCCGGGGACTTGGCCGATCGCCTGGCGGGTGAGGGCCAGGTCAATGGTCCGGCCATGGGGGACCATGTCGCCCGGGAGCAGGGCGGCTTCCCATTCGCCGGATGGCCGGACCAGCGACAGGGCCAAGTCCACGCGCCGGGCGCTGGCGAGCCTGCCCGAGGGCAGAAGGACCGCCTGGCTCCAGGCGCCCGGGTCGGCCAGAGCCCGATCGGCCAGGGCCGTCAGGCGGCGGTCCCCGGCGAAGAGGGACCCCGGCGAGGCGGTCCCCCCCGGCGTGGCGTCTGTCCCGCCGAGAAGCAGCCACTCCGGCACGGGGACCGCCATGAGGGGCCGCGAGCCCGGGGGCAGGCCAATGCCAAAGGGCCTGGCCGGGGCCACTTCCTGGAAGCCGGCCGGCAGCAGCAGCGTGAACAGAGTCACCCAGCCCTGCTGGTCGATGGCGGCCACCTGCCGGGCCCCGGCCAGCCGCACGCCCCGGCAGGGTCCCATGCTGGTCGGCTGGCTGGACCGTGTGAGGCTCGTGCAGCCGGCATCGCCCCTGTCGGAGCTCACCTCACACCGGAAGGGCAGCTGCCACAGGACCCCGGAAGTGTCGCACATCAGGTAGCCCAGCCCCAGGGTGCCGGCCGGCCGGTCGGGCCACGGCAGCGGGCCCACCTCGGCGAAGGACATGGCGTGCTCCACCTTGTGGTCGGCAAAGTGCGGCACCGGCGTCGGGGGGGTCTGGGCCTCGGCGGGCTGGCCGATGTTGGACCCCGGTTCCAGCAGCATCTGGCCGGTGGACATGGCCAGCAGGACGCCCGCCCGCGGGCCCAGGGGGCTGGCCAGGACCCCGGCCGGGAGGCCCACCTCCCGGGTGATCGGCAGCAGGGCCAGGTGCGTCTCGCCGATGGCCACCACCTCGCCGATCGGGGTGGTCGGGTGGACGTCCGGCAGCGGGTGCACGGCCGGCAGGGCCAGGCGGCTGCTCGGGCGCGCCTGCCCAGCCGGCTGACACACGCCGGCCAGCAGCACATGGCCTTCCGAGCATTGAGCCACGCAGATGGTGCTCCCCCCGGCGCCGGAGCCCTCCAGCCGGCGGTCGTCCTCACATACCAGGCAGTTGCCGGCATCGCACACCCGGCATCCCGGGCTGCAGGCCTTGCACGGGGCGTCCTCTGGATTGGGCCGGCGGTCGGTCCGGCAGCCGCGCGTCGCAGGTCGCCATGCGGAAGCCCGCGCACCGGCCGGCATACCGCGAGGCAGCGGCGCCCGGTCGCCGGACAGCGTGCGGCCCAAGTCCCCCCCGCCCCCCAAGACACATGGACCGTGGCCCCGGCGAAGGACAGGCCGAGGCACGGGCACAGGCAAGCGCACCGAACCAACATACCCGCGGCAGGGCCCACGTCGTTCGGCATCAGGCCACGAGCGCATTGTTAGCATCCTCAGCATGGCGCGTGGCGGGCACGGGAAGGAGGCCGGGGCGGGGGAGGCCGTCCGGCCCCCGGCATCAGGGGCCGCCAAACGCACCGTCACCGCGGTCCTGGTACCAGCCTTGCGCACAGCCATCACACAGGCTGCCGTCCCTTGCGAAGGGCGACTCGGCCCGGCCCGGGGCGCAGGACCAGCCCAATGGCGATCCGGTGGCCCCGGCCGAGCCGTCGCACCTGATGCTGCTGTCCACATGGCATGCCATGTCGCCGGACTCCAAGTAGATCCGGCCGCCGGCCAGCAGCCCCCAGCGGGTGGTGGCCGGCCCGGCGTCAAGGAGCACCAGCTGCGCGCGGTCCAGGTCGCGGACGCCCGGCGGAAGCACCGCGCGATTCCAGACCTTGGGCTTGGCCAGGGCATCCATGCGCCAGAGCACCGGCGGCCGCGGCGGCTCCGGCAGTTCCAGATAGTACAGCAGCGAAAGTGCCCGGCCCATGGCTTCGACGCCGGGATTGAGGAAGCACCCGGAGGAGCCGGAGCCGCCGGGAAGGAGATCCAGCAGAATCCGGCTCGACTCGGGGCACGGCAGCTCACGGCAGGGCATCACCTCCACCAGGCCGGTTGACAGGACCAACACCAAGTCCCCGCTGTCGGGCCAATCGGAGGCGGGCGGCCCATCGGACAGCAGGCGCGTGGCCGCCAGCTGCCGAATGCCCGGGTGGCTTTGGGTTGTGACGCCGGCCCGGCTGCTGCCGCTATTGTACACGATCCGGTGGAGGTTGTGGCCGGCGTGCACATGGAACCCGCGAGCCGTGGCCGCCATCGGGGCCACCAGCACCGGGTTGCCGACCGGGCCCACATCCACCGACACCGGCAAGAGGGCAGATGCGCCCCGCTGCAGCAGGAAGAGGCTGATGGACCGGGTGGGCGCGTCCCGGGCGCCTACCAGCCCCAGCAGCAGCGCCGTGTCCCGGTCGATGGCCAGCCCGGCCAGCAGCTCGGTGGCCGGGGCGGGGAGGGTGAGCACCCGATTGTCGTCCATCAGGGCCACCTGCAATGGGGTGTGCTCGACAATCAGCGGCGCCTGCTGGCCATGCACTGGCAGGATCATCATCTGGGAGCCGGTGTCCAGCTCCGTCGGCCGGGCGCAGGCCAGGCTTGCTTCGTGTGCGGTGGAGAAGACGGCCCCGAAGCGTAGGGCGTCGGTCCACCCGTCCAGGCCCGACTGGCCGGCCGGCGCATTGGCCTGCTGGAGCTGGGGAAAGATGTGCACCGCGGCCTGGTCCGACAGCGTCGCCACCATCGAGGTGCCGGTGGGCTCGGCAAACACCCCGAGCACATTGCCCGACGGGAGGCTCTGGCGCGGGCACATGTGCAGGAAGAAGTCCGGCCCGGGGGCCGGGGCCGCCAGATGCACAAGCGCCGCCAGCAGCGCCGCCAGCAGCCAGGGCAGCAGGGGGCCCGGGCGGGCCCGAAGTCGCGCGCCGGCCGTCGATCGTCTCATCCCGGCAGCCGGGCTTGCACACGAGACACGGGCAGTTGGCGGGGCGATGGAAGAGCGGGTCCCCGAGGAGGGGTGGGCGAGGGGGGGTGGGCGAGGAGGGGTATGGGCGAGGGGGGATGTGCGCGAGGGGGGATGTGCGCGCGCGTGTGTGTGTGTGTGTGTGTGTGGGAGGAAAGCCATCCAACTAGGGGGGTCGGGTTTATTCCCAGCAGCCCGAAGCCCAACCCGCATTGTGTGGTCCCCTGAAACACGCCCCCTCCCGGCCTGGGGGTGTTGTTCCGGCCGAGGCAGGGGGCTCGAGGCGCCCCGCGCGAAGGCCCTGATGGACGACCGAGCCGACACACGGCCAGGCAGAGCCGGGACATGGGCCCCTCCAGCCGAGGGAACTCTCTGCAGGCACGCAACGCCCAGGGCGCGCGGGGACCGTTGAAACACTTCACCCGCCCGGCGCGGGCGAGCGTTGGTACCTCGCCTCATCGTTTGGGAAAACTCAATAACAAACAAACAAACAAACAACCGACGCGGGCGTTTCGGGCCCGGCCGGGCCGGATCGCCGGTCAGCGCATCCTGCCTGCCTGCCGGGCGCCTCCTGCCCGACTGCCCACAGTGCAAGCCTGGTGGGCCGTGGTTGCGGGTCCGCGAGGGCGGCGGCCCTGGCAGGCGGGCGTGCGTCGGCGGCCGTGGCGGGGCTGGGAGCACGCCGGGGCCCGCCGCGGCTCGGCGTCGGTGTGTTGGCCTCGGCGCAGGGACCGCGCGCCCCGACGGGGGAGGGCAGGGTCGGCGCCGGGCGCCGGCGACTCGCCTGACGGTGGTCGGTTTGGCATGTGTCATCCATGGGTGCCGAAATCCCCAGCATGCCGGTGGTGGCCGGCTCTCCTCTCGGGCCCGAAGGCATGGCACGGGGCGGAAATGCCGATTGCGCTGGTGCTTGATTCGGTGGAGATGGGTCTCGGCCCGGCCCTTCGCGAGGACCTTGTTCTGTCTCTCGCGATCGGGCCGGACAGAGGGGAAAGGGCCGAACGGGCGGGCGAGCGGAAGACCGGGCAATGGGTCGGGCCGGGGGATCTGGTCTGGGCGCCCACTTCGGGAGTCTGGTGCGCGCGCGGGCTGACCCGCGGCTTGGTGGTGTGCTGGCCCGTGGCCCAGGTGCACGATCGCCAAGAGGGGGCGGGGGGCTCCCGGCGCTGGACCGGCTTCTTGTGCGGCCAAGACCACGCCGCGCCTCCCCGGACCGGCTCTGTCCTGTCGGCGGATCCCGGCCCCAGCCGCCGGCGGAGAAAGGCACCGAGGCATTGCCGGCAGGAAGGGCGTCTTGACAGGGGGGTGGATGGGGAGGATGGGTGTATTATCGGGAGGAGGAGGCCCCGGGGGGCATCCCCCTGGCGGTGGCCTACGGTGACTCGGACAGGCCGCCGGCCGCCACATAGTAGATGACACATTGCTGGCGGAAGGACGCGGCAAGCGGCCGCCGACCAGCGTCAGCCTGCCAGGCGGCGGCCACCAAATCACCGGCATTGGAAAAGGCACCGCTCGTGGGGAGGGCTCCGGTGTCTGGACGCTGGCCGGCCTTCACGGCGGATACAATCCCCTGCATGTCCAGGTCCGGCCAGGGGACCGCGCGCGTGAGGCACTCCAGCAACATCACCGCCGCGCTGAAGATGTCCGCCGGCAGGAAGGCCGCCCGGTCCAGCGAAATGCCCCGCTGGAAGGCGCCGATCACCTCCGGCGCCGCGTACCGCACGGTCATGGCATTCAGCTCGGGCAGGGTGTTGACGAGGACCGACGACCGGTCGGTGCT